GATTAGAAATTTCCTTTGCATTATGCACTTTTTGGTCCCAAAGTGACTTAACAGAATTTCTTTGTATTTTTAAAGAGTTTGGCATAGTTTTGGAAAGGAAATCAAAATCAAAACAAATAACAAACCTTATATTTTTAACTTACCTTTTTAATTCAGGTTCTAATGTCCGATTTGGGCATATAAATAAATGCCTAAATTCAGAAAGTGGTGAAACCGCAGCCTAAAATAGATGCAGTTTTCCACCGCCATTCTTTTTGCTGGGAACTGTATATAATAATTTAAAAAAATCAAAGATATTAAGTTATAAAAGAAAATATTGAATAGGATAAATTAGTATATTATATAAGTTAATTGAAAATTAATTAATTAATTCTAGAAATTTATTTAATTTTAGTAAAATTATATCAATCAAAAATAAAGTTATTTTCTACTTCTTTTATTTAATATTGATTTTAAATAAAAAAAAAAAACTATAAAAAAAAATGAGAAAAAATTAAAAAAAATAATCTTATTTTAAATTTTTTATTAATCAAATATAAAGATTTTTTTATTTAGTATTTATACAAGTTGATTTTAAATAATAAAAAAAAGTAAAATCAAAGAAAAAATTAAAACATTTAAAAGATCAAATTTTTAAATTTTAAACTTTGTATATTTTTTGAATTATAATTTACATGTAACAATAATATAATTAATATAATTTAATATAATTATATATTTTATTAATAATTATAATAATTTTGGTTATAACATAATATTTTATGATTGACTTTGATTACTCATCATGTTTAAGAAATAATAAATCATAGAACACAGATTGGTGAGGCTGAATTGGTTCGTTTAAGTATGTATGATTGAAAATGTTTTATCAGAATTTCCTTTGAAGATGATAGATACATCCTGAAGCTATTTATACAAGTCGGTTACTTGAATTTACCCACCTTCCTCAACCAAGAAATGCCGATCCCGTTTCAATTTAGCAAAATTCCCTAGTTAATCGTTCAGGTAAAGATTTTTTTTTTTTTGTGAAGAGAGTATATATTGACTTTATTATATTAAATTCTTTTTTTTTGTACTTGACAGTTCATCTCGCCCCTGCATCAGACCTTGGGAAGCTGGCATACAAATAGTATAGCTTCTCATAATCGCCATCCTAATAGATAAAGAATAATAGGCGAAGTGTTTAAATTCAAAGTGTCTCACTACCTTTAACGGAAAATGATTTACAGTAGCAGATTATTTAATAGTGAAGAAGTCTCTGAAAGTGAGTGCATTTCTTCCAAAGTTGCATCACTTTTTTTTCATCATATTATTACCCTTATTTATAAATGTAAAACTCATTAAATTTAGTATGTGACGATTAAGTCTTTCTTCAGGATCAAAAGGTATTTTATTAGTCTTTACGTGTTTTTTTGCTTCTTTTTTTTTTTAAAAAAAAAATTCTAAAGTTTTTCGATTTTTTAATTTTAGATTTTAAATCTGATAAATGAGGACTTATTCGAAGAATAGTTTACAAAAACAAAAACAATACATATAATCATTTTCAACCCTTGTACAAAATTCATTATTTATTTATGTAAAAAAAAATAATTATTTGTATTATAATCATAATGTATTTATATGAAAATAAAAATTAAATTTTAATAATTCTCTCGTGGACATGCTTAATTTCCCAATTGTTTTTACGACGTACGAAATCTTGTAAACTGGCCTTTTTAAAAAAATAGAACTTGGATATGCTACACTTTTTTTTTTTTTTTTTAAAAAAAAAAAGAAAACTTCAATCGCGCCCTTCCAAGTTTACTCAAAGAACTTATTATTTCAGAGGCGTCAATTTTTGCATTTTGCAAATAAACCGCGGCCAAATCGGCCGACGGCCAAAAAATTAGGCTTGGCCGCGGCCCAACTATGCATTAAAGTAGTCACGAACTAAAAGAACATTTGGGACCTTTGCAATAGAAAAGGGGAAACGGTTGGAAAAAATAAAAAATGAGTTAATGCTAAATCTGACCTAAAATATATATTTGACATATAAAGTAAAATTGATTTTTTCCGGTACTTTCTATTGCAAAGGTCCCATTTGTACAAATATATATATATATATCAACTACAAGTCAAATTCGGTTAGGTTTTTAAAAAAAACGAAAGATTGTCATCGATCTTTTTAATATTTTTATTAGACTGGACCAATGGTTTTTCGGTCTTGACTCCTTCAGGATATTAAAAGTAAATTAAATAATTCATTTTTTTTTTTCTAATTCTCATTGATAATGGTGTTGTTTCAAGGTCAATCGGTTGATAATCTTTCAACTGGCAAAATATCGATAATGAACGTTCGCGACTCCAATATTTTTACATTTTTTTTTAGTACGATTAAATAATCTAGTAATTAAAATCATGTAACTAAACTATTCAAGGGTTAATTAATTATATTGTCAACCAAAATATTTTCTTTAAAAGAGCAAAATCGTCGCAACCACTTGTACGTAGGGATCCGGTCTTTAGCGGGAACCGAAAGACTACGTGTTGCCAGTAAAATCATTTTCCAATTATCGTCCAAATTGAGTCGATACGTGACGGATGAGTCGATCCATGATTGGTTCCTTAGGCAAATTATAGTCCGACCTCTGATTCTACTTGTACGTAGATAATTGGTCAATTGGAAATTCTTTTTCTTAATAAATAACCCTCTTTTTTTTTATAAAGGCGATTGAACTTTTTTTAAACTTAAAACCTTTTTTGATATAGAAATTAATTGATTTTGAACGAATATCATGCTTTCTTCTGCTGAACAAGAAAACATTAATAATGATAATACTAAAAAGTATATTAAGCGACCACAAAAACCTGATGAAGAAAGTTATAAATTGGCTTTAGAAGAAGTTAAGAATAAAATTGATAAATTACAAGAAGAATCTGTAAGTTTTATATAAACTTTTAAAAAAAGAAAAAAAATTTTTTTCATTTATTCTCTTTGAATAATTAAACCATTTCTGCTTTAAAGAAATATATATATACATATACGCCCTTATGATGACAATTTTTTTAAAGTCGCAATTTTTATATGTATTTCTTATGTCCTAAATAAACTTTTAGGATGCCATAAATGCTAAAATTGGTGCTTCTGATAATGGTCCTGCTGGAAGTAGCCGTGAAGAACTTCGAGGTCAATTAGATAGACTTCGTGGTAAACAAGATGAAATTAAGAAAAGTAGATCAAGCACAATTGAAAAAATCAGATCTCTAGGTGATTCCATACAAAGAAAGGTACACACGCATATTATTATTAAAGGAAAAAAAACCTTTTATTTTTCCCAAGGAATTCAACTGACAATTTTGTATTATTTTTTTTTTTATAGAAACGCGACTTGAAACAAGTTCGAGATAAAGTTCAATATAGAACTGTAAAAGATATTGATATTGCAATTTCGTAAGTAGATATATTTTTTTTTTAAAAAATATATATATATATATAAAATATTTATTTATTTTAAACATTTATAGCAAACTGGAAAGATTAATTGAATCTGGTACTTTAAAAATTATTGAAGAAAAAAGAACTATTGCAGAGATATCAAATTTAGAAAGATCTAAAAAATCTGTAAAACAATTTGAAATTCAACAAAATGCAATTGATGAGGAACAAAAAGCAATTGATGAATTAAAGAAAACTCTTGAAGATAGTGATTTTAAAAAAATAAATGAGGAATATGATGATATTAAAGCAAAACTTGATGTAATTAATAAAGATTTAGCTTCAGATAGAGAAAAACGTAATGAATTATTTGATCAAAAAAAAAAAATCCGTGAACAAATTAATGAACTATTTGCAAATAGACGTGAGATTCAAGATCAACATAGTAAAGCTAAATCTGAATATTGGAAATATCAGGAGGATGAACAAAAACGTCGTCAAGAATTAAGAAGGAAATTGGATGAAGAACGCGAAAAACAATACAAGCAAGATGTTGCCGATAGAAAACGTGAAGAAGCTGCTATTCCTGCTTTTCAATCAGATATCGTTACTTGTGACAATTTAATTTATTACTTTCAATCTTATAATGGAGGAAAATCACCTCAACCTCAACCGCATACTCCTTCTACTACACCAGTTGATAGTAATATTCGTCAACCCGATGCTACTAGTAATGTTCCTGAAGGTGCTGTTCTTATGAAAAAATCCGATAGAGAAGATGCTTATTTTGCCGGCGGTAGCAAAAAACATAAAAAATCTCCAAAGGAAAAGAAGGCCGGTAAAAGTAATTCTCTTCAACTTCCTTTTAGTGTTATGGATCAGTTAATTTCTTTCAAGATTGCTACACCTCATAATTTTTCTGATATAGAGCAAACTATTGAAGGTTTAATTAAAAAGAAAGAGTATTTCATTGAAAATCAAGAGCGTATTACTAGAGAAAATATCGAAAAAGTTGAGGCTGAAATAGCTGCTATGGAAGAAAAAGGTTTTGGCTATAAGAAAAAGGGTAATAAATACAATCATCAAGATAATGATAATGAAGTGAAAGATAAATCCAATGATAAAAATGAAAATGATTCTGCTACAGTTACTACTAGTGAAGAAGAAAAAGTTAAAATGACTACTGTTATCATTTCCGAAGATGATGAGAAAAAAAATGAAATTACTGCTGCAGTTGGAGACACTAAAAAGGAAAAAACTGAAGACAACTAATTATTGTCTGAACTATAAAATATTGAACAATTAGACTTATTTATTTATTTATTAGATACTGTTTTTAGTTTTGTATTAAAAAAAGGGGGTATAGATGTTTAACTAAGTAATTTTGTAATATTGTATCAGAATGATAATTTTTATTTTATTTTATTAAAAACAAGAAAGATCGTTGAAATAAATTTCTTTATAGGCCTTAAAAAATCAAAATTAATATATATACTGTAGTTAAATAATAATAAAATGATTCTATTAAAAAACCAAACCAAACAGAATTAATAATCTACCATTTGTTAATACTAAATGGTTGCATTTAAAGTGTCATATTAATGTGTGACTGCAATAAAATTGCCTTCTGCATCTCTTTCAGATAACACTGCTTTCAAATCACTCAATCTAGCTTGTAATTTTGGTACTTCAATAAGTTTTTGTTCCAAATGTTGTTTCTCCTCTTGAAGCTTTAATCGACGTTCTGCATCTAATTTGGTAAATACATATCCCCCTTGTCCATCATACTAAAAAAATGTATACATATATTATAATTATTATCATGATTAAATAAAACAATAACTTTAAAAGCTTACTTGTAAGATGAAATTATGATATTTCCATAACGATGGCCGATGAGATACAGTCAACAAAGAAATTCCCAAGTCTTTTTGATGCAATGTGGTTAAGTTTAATTTATCTTTAAACGTTTTAAGTGATGATAATAATAACAACATTTAATTACCTGTGGCATGTGTGTACATAATTTTTTCAATATCCAAGCCTACAGCACTAGTACCTACAAATGTCAAATAAAATGAATGAATCAATCGATCAAATATGAACAACATATACTCAAAAACCAATCTTACATTCATCCAAAATTGCATATTTCGGTCGATGGTAAAACAATCTTGCCATAGCAATCTGTAACAATAAAAAATCCATCATATTTATAAGTAATTTTCGTATTAGATCTTTATAATTTATCTAAATTGCATGACACTAACTCTTTGTTTATCTCCTCCTGATAAAGCATCTTTCCATTCACGTTCCTTATCCCAACCTCCTTCGCGCTCAACAATGGTATTTAGTTGAACAATGTTAAGGATTTCTTGTAAACTCTGATCATTTATACCTCCTATGTAAGAGAAGAAAGTTTTAGTTTAGGACACACCAATATTTGTTGGAAAAAAAATTGGATACTATTTAAAACTAGCTTTACACTTACGCTTTGTCATTTCAGAAACGGTATGTGGATAAATAATTCTAAAGAATTTTGCTAGTTATTCAATTGTTTTTAAATATAAATACCATAATCATACACACAATTTACACTTACTGGTCACGCAACGTGCCCAGTGATAAGTAAGGACGTTGGGGAATATAAAAAATATCTCTTGGATTTGGTCGATGAACAGTACCACCTAAAAGAAATTTCAATATTTGTAATTAAAGTTAGACAGTATTGGGAATTGTCAAGTATATGCTAGGTATATATACTTACCGTAAACAGGCCAGAGGCCACCTAAAATTCTAAATAAACTACTTTTGCCGCATCCATTAGGTCCAACAATCAACAAGTGCATGCCTGGTCTCACATAGAAATTCAATTTTTTTAATAAAACATCCCCGTTCGGGGATACTATAGGCACATCAATGAATTCTATAGTTGCTGCATCTTCAATGACTTCTCCACGACCCGATAATACTGCGGCGTTTTCATCAGTTGAAGCTGAAGAAACAAGTTGTTTTTCATAACGACCTGATTTTACGGCATCAAAGGTATCCAAAAGTTCAGATACCTTTTTAGATAATAAAATGGAGGTAAATATGGTGTTCGAAAATTAAATGAGATTTTTTTTTTTAAAAAAAAATAATCATAATAATAATAATAATAAAATTACTCGGGCAGTGTAGCCAGCCAACTCGGTAATTTCCTTATAAGAATACATTATGCGTCCGAAAGC